GTCGCTCCCGCTCATTTTGGAACATCTAAAATTAAGCCCCCTGCCCTGCAGTAAGCTTCCCACAGCCTCTTTCCGCACAGAGTCTCACCAGAACCAGTGTGGCTCTCTGCAGACGCAAGGGTCCACCCACACAGAGCTCATTGCAGGATTGGGCCTTAATGTAAGCACAGTGAGGTGGGGGTCTGTGTCTTTCTGTCTCTTCCATGAAATGCCTGGCACAGTTATAGCTACTATAAAATGAGGTGGGTGTATTAACATAGCTACTGTGTGTTACTGTTAGAGATGCAAGCTTCTACTTTTGACTGTGGCAATATGGCCTAAAATGCTTCTTTAAAAACTTTTCCCCAGCTTCCCGGCACCCTTCCCGGCACCCTCTTCAACCTCATCCCTTTGTGAGCTTCCAGATTCCAAAAATGTGTGACTGGTCTTTCTGTCTTCTGCAGGCTTTCATCATCCCTCTATGCCCCCTGTTCTGCCCTTGGTCTACTCTGCCTCTAACGTTACTTGATCATTGTGCCCTGTAACCATCACTGATCCCCAATCTTCCAATCCCATCCCCATGCCGGCTACATCTGGCTAGGAGGATTAAAGGAATTGCCACTTCAACATTTTCAAGATAGTCAAAAACAGAAGTTGGCCATCAAAAGAGATCTGAGTGGGTTTGAAATTCCCTAAAAGCACAGTCTTGCCATCTGCACTGCAGGTAACAGTTTATTACTTTAGTACTGGCAAAGGGAGCGTGCTGCTTTTCCAGCTGCTCACTTTTATCCATGTTACTGAGCTCCAGATTAATGATTGTAGCATGATTTAAGGGAAGAGAGATTAATTTTGCTTGAAATATTCTCCGCACCACTGGCCACAGACCTGACAGAGAGGCTGCTGTGGGATTGTGACTTCACCCTGCCTAACTGATCCAGGCAGGAATACGTGTAGCCCAGTTATGCATCAGTGATGAATGCAGGTGAATGGTGGAAAACCTCAGAGTACTAGATTTATAACATTTCCTGTGTATATTATTTGTAAAATATTGTATGTGGGACACTGATTAGCAATGCAGCAGCGCTGGGACACTGTCAACCCTAGATCCCTGACATAGAGGCTATTGTGGGAATGAGACTGCCCTTCTCAAGTGGGATTGTGCATGCAAGAATGCAATGATAATGGCTGCTGAATGGTGATGGGTGAAATAAGTTCAGAGAGCAGTATATTCATTATTTTGTTGGGATGCAGTCCAATGTTTAACACAAGAAGTAAGGCACAATTTTTTAATAGTGCGGGTGGAAGTCTAAATCAAGATGGGATGCCTTTATGGAAGATTTGCATTAGCCAAACACAAGTTGGGCTCACTACGGCAGTTAATGGGGTAAAATTTGATGGCCTGTTGTGTTATACAGGAAGTCAGACTCGATCTAGTGGTCCCTTCTGGTCTTAAAATCTGTGAACTTGTCAACTTATCCATGACGAAGAACACATAACCAGAGGCAGACCCCGATGGAATTATCCCAATAATGTATATTTACAGATAAGAGCCATCTGTCAGAACACAAAATGAGTCGAGCCCTGATCACACTAACTGCTCTGGAGGCCACAGGAAAGGTGGATTCCAATGTCACCACTACATGTACCTTGCCCATTGCATAGGTTCTTGTGTGCTCTTCCATTCATTTAAATGGATTTTCCCCTAAACTTGTTGACAGATATGATCTGTGTCTGTTTATTATGTTTTCTGAGAGAATAGCCATTCAAAATGTGATCTATAACTTTATGAAATCTTATTTATTTTTAGTATGTTCCAACATCACCTTCCAATTGGTTTGTATGGTTAACTATAAAAAAAATAAGATTTTAAAAGCATAACAGTTCTTGGAGAACTGGCTGTAGTTTCATAAGCCCATCCAAATCCAGAGTCCTAGATGCGTCTGCTTTTATTTTCATCATTAGTCTTCATAAACAATAAATCTCACTTCTTCAGTCACGGTAGTTGTCAGTGGATTTGTAAATTATCTTTCTGCTCACTTATTCAAGCTTTTTAACGGTTTTACCATTTGCTATATGTATTTATTTAGATATTAGCTGAGGCAAAAGCAGTAAATATGTAACCCATAAAGTATAATACCGAGAAGATCAGTTACTGTTAAGCGAATGTAATTTAATTTTCTGGTTCACTAGTTATAAGAAATGTGATAGTATGGATTTTTTTTCCATCAAGGTCATTCTGGATAATCTTTTATGCAGTATAGAAATAATCAAACAATACTCTGTATGCCTGGCATTTTGTTTTTATAGCTGGTCCGTTAAGAACACTCACTACAACAACACGCAACTTATTTTGTTATTTCTTTTTTTGCTTCCTAGAATTAGTAGGTGAGACTATTTGGGTAATTTATATTCTCATATAAATAGCTATACATCTTCAGTATGGTGTTATAAAAGAGACTCGCTGGACTTGAAATTGAGTATTAAAGGCTCAGAATATTTAAATGAGTAGCTGTACACAAGTGTATAGTCGTACTGAAATAAACAGAGCTACTCACATAAGTAAAGTTATTAGCATGCATAGGTATTTGCAGAATTGTACCCATATGCTAATTTTACACAAATCAGATTGGTTCTGTTTACTAAACTTTTAATATTGAGGCTGGATTTTAAAAGGGTCATGTGACTGAATGCATATCAGGCTTCCAATTAAGATTGAACTAATAGAAAGTTCCCTAGTAGTGAAATTTAGCAGAGTATATCAGATTTATGAATGGAGAAGTGATGCAAGCAATGGAATTGTCCTTGGCTTCAAAGCATGGTTTGAGATACTAGTTTATTGACCATCACTTTTTAAATCACTTGCTGCCTGAGGCATCTTTCTCCAGGTAGCAACTGCTGCCTCTAGGCCTGCTCCTACCTCTCCACAGGTAATGATGTCAGAAGCAACTCTTAAGCAGGGGTGGAGCTTCCTTCTAGAATCAACAGCCATGACTGTGATAGGTCTTTTGCTCACCCTGTCCCCCATTTTTTTTTTAGAGAGAAAGAAGCTGGACTGGATGAGTCCATCCCTGAGATTGGCTCAGCTATCTCAGATGGTTTCATTTATGTTTTGCCAAGTCCCTGCTCACCTCTGTGGGTGGAAACTAGCTGTTAGCCTCTAGGACTTGCCCTCCTTCTTGTGCTCGCACAAGGAATGCAGGTAGCTCATATAGGGACGTAAGGGGTATTAAGAACCTGTGTGGGTCCATGAGGTAGGTTACAGTCTTCTCCACCGAAATTACTACTGGGGGTATTGTCATTCACTTCAGTAGGACAGCTCGCAGTAGTAATAAGCATTACATCCCCCTAGTAAGTGTTTACAAGAGGAGACCCTAGTATCACAGGCATGCTGTGGTTGTACCTAGCCTGTACATTTTGTCACTATCAAATATTAGGCGGGGACAGGCTGTTGGGGATTTATTTTAGCTTTGATGGGTTTATTTCAGGGGTGGGGAAAGCAGAGGGTTGCATATAAACCAAAAGATCTTTTATCTTTAAAAAAACCCACATTTTTTGTAGAGGATCCAAAACCATTGTCCGAGATGGATTTCTGTAAATATTGTACTTGACTCCACCACCCTCACTCTCACCGTGTAGTACCTTACTCTGTAAGTAGTCCCACCAAAATCAGTGAGTCTATATGCAGAGTAAGGATTCAAGAATCTGATGCTCAGTTAGTCTGCACATTTCAACCATTTGTATGAGTATATATTGCTCAGTCAAAAAATGCCCTGTATCTCTGAGGCAGAATAAATACAATATGCAGATATGTTTCCTTGGAAATTACTCATACTTTTAAAGTACATGTAGCATTGTAAAGCTTATATAATTTATTGATGTAAAAGACCTGGCTCTCTCGCGTGCTATTAAATATATTTGCCTGTATTGGCAAGTATGAGGAATTTGCTTTGATTATTAATACAGATTTTCAAGCAATATTAGATGCTGAGATATTCAGAAATGGAGCTGCTGTTATGATACTATGCCAGCCCTTATTGTCTAATTGACTGAAAATGACTAGTACATGATTTTCTGAAAAAGATGTGTCCTGTTTATGCAGCTTCTATCAATATTAATTTCTTTTTAAGATGCTACATCGTATCAGCGAGCAAAAATCATAGCTGGAGCTCCTGTACAATAATGCCTTTTTCCAGTTCCCTTTCATTGTGTTGATTCTATATTGTTCTTGTTGATGTTGGATATTTGATCAAATTCAGGGCCCTGTTGTGCTAGGGATTGTACAAACACATAGTAATAGACAGTCCCTGCCCCAAAGAATTTACAAACTCAGAACCAGATTCTGATTTCCTTATTTATATTAAGCAGTATTTTACATCACGAATGAGGCATTCAGTTCAATGGTATTATTTGTGGAGTAACACATGATTTGACCTGAATATGAGTGTAAGAATCTGACTCAAAATAGACAAGATAGACAAAGGTTTCATTGTCCCCATTTGTATATAGAGACACAGCGTGAAATAGCTTGCATAAGTCCATGTCTAGTGTCTTAACCAGAAGACAGTCCTTCCTCTCATTGCTCTTCTTTCTGCAAAATCTCTTTCTTTTAAAGATAATCACAGGACATGATATTTTAAATGTTGGCTGGTCAAATAACTCAGCAGAAAGAAAATACAGGTGCAGTCAGCGAGGGTCTTTCCTGGAGGCGTCATACTTATTTTGAAAAACCAAAACAAATTTAACATAAGAAATAAAAAGAGTAACAGAAAACGTACCCAGCTTGCGTTTCATAGAACTTTTTCATGTGGAGACCTGTATTCTCGCAGGCATCCTCCTCTCTGTGGCTGAATCTGACTCTAAAGATACCGGTGGTGTGATATTGTTTTCAGTTCACTGTTGTGCATGAAATCTTCATGCAGCCAGCCGTTAATGCATCATGGCCATCTGTTGGGGCATATACCCAAGCTATGTCATGAAGCATCTTCCTATTTTATTATTAATATAGTTATTTACTTGAACAGGTTTGCTATGTTTCACAATGTCAAGATACCTAAAGAAAACGTTTTGAACAGGACTGGAGATGTCACAGCTGAGGGGGTATACGTCAGCTCATTTAAGGTATGCAATGAACTGTACGTGCAATGAATCCAGTCTATCAAATATGCTATGAAGGAATTGTTTGTATTTTTTTTTCAAACCTATTAACTGCTCCCTTCTATTTTCAGATCTGAATGGGGTTTTAGTAATGCATTGGCCATTAAAGTCAATGGGTGCTAACTCCTTGAGTGAGCCTTTGAAAGTATAGCATTTGGCATAACTACCACGATTCTGATGTTGCAGGCAGTGCAATTATGAAGCTATGGAATGGCTGAACCTGCCCATTTAGTGTGTCTTTTATTCCCTCAGGATCTCAAGCAGCGTTTTGGCGCATCTCTTGGGGCTTTGTCCAGTGGTAGAGTTATGATCATAGGCATGTCTGTGGTTAATTTAAAGCTTGCCTTATCAATAGCCATTCGCTTCTCAGCCACACGCCGTCAGTTTGGACCAACAGATGAAGAAGAAATACCAGTCCTGGAATACCAAATGCAGGTACTAACTAATCTACAATACGGCATTTCATTCAAATCTAGGGAATGTATTCAAATATAAAGCCAGATCCTCAGCTTATGTAAATCAGCATAGCTGCATTGAAAGCAATGAAGTTACACTAGTTTACACTAGCTGAATGTCTGGCCCTATAGAGTTCTGAAGGCTTGATTCTCAGTAAGACTTGGTTTATACTACCAACTTCTCTAGCCACACCCCTGACCACATAGTTATACTGACGTAACCCCCACTGTAGACAGCACTATGTCATTGGGAGGGCTTCTCCCACAAAGATAGCTACTGCCGCTCGGGGAGATGGAGTACCTAGGCCAACTGGAGAATCTCTCCCGTCAGCACAGGTTGAATCTTCACTAAGCACTAGCTGTTGCAGCACTGTAAGTGTAGACAAGCCCTTAGGCCCCTTTACATCAATCTGGCAATGTAAAGAGGCCTTAAAGCACCCACCTCTCACTGCCAGAGAGGTGTAAATTGGCTTTGTGTAAATAAGAATCAGACCCTGGAATACTGAAACCCAAATATATTATTGAGCTCTTAGAAGCACTTTTCTGACATTGGTGGGAGGGAACTTGTTACTTTTCAGAAACTCTGGTTTCATATCAACTTTCATCATGCTTTCTTTTGGGTTGGTCTGCCCTACATCGACATCATCTTCCAGTCTCTTCCAAATGTAGCTGCTAAGATCATCTTCCTCATCTATTGTTCTGAACATGTAACCCCATCTGCTGAATCCTTCTCCTGACTTCTACTTCTCCACTGCATCAAATTCAAGATTTCTTATCCTGACCTTCAAGGTCCTCACAGCTCTGCCCCTCTCTGTTTATTTGCTTTTGTCTCACATTTTGTTTCTTCCATAGTCCCTTGGTGATGCTCTCCCTGACTACCCTCTTTTCCACATCTCCCACAACCCGTGTTGCACCTACTTCCATGCTGTTCCCTATCCATGGAGCACCTTCCTTCAACTGACCCATAAGGGCTGTACTCTATATTATCCTCACGACCCACTTCTTCCTTGCGGCCGTTAAGAAACAGGCAAACTAATCATAGATAAATTAGGGGCAGTCAGATACCATTGAAGTGTAAATTATTTAACAAACCAAGAAGTGCATAACTTATATAACAACTGTACCTCTTTTGATTATATTTCTCTTTCTCACCTTTTGATTTGGCTTGTCATCATCAATTGAAAGCTCTTAGGGGTAGGGTGTTTGTGTGTAAACATTGCCTACAACATTGTGGGTATTAAAGAAAACAATAAGAAGAATACCCTCCACCTTACCATTGGTTTTGTCAATGCACAGTTCGTTATCATGTTTGTGTTAATTACTTTAGCCTTTTCTCTTTATTAACCTTTGAAAATATAGAAATAATTATTTGTATTGCTGTAGCCCAAGTCAGAAACTGTACAAACACAGGATAAAAAGATGATCTCTGCCCCCAAAGAATTTCATTGAACCAGTGTGCTGGTTTAATCTAATGTTTATCAAAAATTAATAGGAACCACGAACTTGGATGGTTTCACCATGAGCATTCCTGTGAAGAAGGTTTATTTACTTTACTGATTTAAAGGGCCATTACAAAAATAGCTGGTTGGGAATTTTTCAATGAAACATTTTTCATTGAAAAATGCCAATTTGTCAAAACCATAACTGTTCACTGGAGAGGGTTGATTTCAACAAATTTCTCAATCCAAAGAAGTTTTTAAATTGTCAGAATTATTTTTGAAATGAAAAACTCCACCTTCTGGTACAAAATGACTTTTCATTTTGAAATTTAAACTACTTGTGGTAGGAAAAAAACAAAAACAGAATCAAAACATTTCAAAATTATTGAAATGTTTCAGTTGACCCAAATTCTTCTTTTTGGAGGGTGGGGATTTTTGGTTTATGAAAAGTTGATTTGTCCTCACTTGGGATGGGAATTTTTTTTTGAAGACTCAGATTTTTGTGGGACCGGAAAATTGTTTCCCATCCACCTCTAATTACTAATTGAACATAAACGCAAACAATATAGTCTATATTTGGATAATATAGAATTATATTAATATTAATATTAATTTATTATAACTATATTAATTCTTAATAATTAGAAGATTGAAGTTGAAATATGGTAGTTTTCTAGAAACTGAAAAAATATACCACAGGGGTTCTGAGTATCCTTGGAAAAGCCCCTAATAATATGTATATATCAACCTTCCCTCACACAGATTTAATTTTAATTCCAGCAATGGCGCCTGCTTCCCTATCTGGCAGCTACATATGCCTTAGACCATTTCTCCAAGTCTTTGTTCATGAACTTCATAGAATTTCACATAGGTCTTCTGATGAAGGATAAGAGTCCAAGACAGGTGAAATGTTTATACATATCCTTTTAATTGCAACTCGGGTTTTCAATGCAGTAAACTTCCAATTGTTAAACCAAGGACCTGTATACACAAGTGGCTCAGAAATGAGGGGACGAGTGGTGAGAAACATTAGTGTTAAAGGCCAGGAAAGCAGGTAACTTTGATCATGGGTTTATGTTCTGATGACTTCAATGGGATTTAAGCATACGTTCGAGTTTTTTCCTAAACAGAGATGTTTCTTCTTGAATAGAGGCCTAAGTAATTACTGGTCACTGCACCTTCAATGGGCTCTTGCAATATGCACTACTTATACTAAATAATCTATTCCACCTTGTATTTAGTTGTGATACATAGAATACCTTCCCCAGACCTGAAGAAGAGCTCTGTGTAAGATTAAAAGCTTGTCTCTTTCACCAACAGAAGTTGGTCCAATAAAAGATATTACCTCATCCCCCTTGCCTCTCTGCATTGCCTTAATGAAGATTCAGTTTTGGTCAACTGAAGTTGACACTGCATGAGATACATGTCAGAGAGTTTCTGTAATAAGCCAGAACAATATATTTTTAGAGTCAGGCTCAAGTTTGCAGTTCAAGTTAATACATTTGAAAATAACGTAAAATATTAACATTTATGAAATGTGGGTTAAATGAGCAGTACAATGAATTTCTTGGCAATCTCTGTCAAGGAAATATTTTGATCTCTCTGCACTTTACAGAGCCTGACTCTGACCAGCATAAGTGCACTATATAGTTTTTTATAGTCTTTTTGTAAGTAGAATTATTTTTGTAATAACTTAAGGTGGAATTCACCCCTGTGTCAAGGTCTGCACAGTGACTGTTTATCACTTCATTCTCACTTAAACCCTCAGGCTTTGTGCAAGCCAAGTTAAATGGTGTAGGCCTTGCACCCCGGTTAGTGTGTCTCCTTTTGTGACCAGTCCATAGAGGATGTGGGTCTGTATACAGCTCACAGCTAGAGAGCCTGGCTCTTTTTTGTTCAAGAGGTATTTATGTTTTTAGTATTTGGTTCAATCCCTGGTCTTGGTCAAGACTTTGGCAGTCGCATGGATGAATTTCACCCTTAGCTTTTTGTGTGTATTCTTGCACTTGTTTTGTTTAAAAAACATTATTTACCATGAGCTTATTTTTTTTTTTTTTACAAAGGCTGAAATTGGACGTGAGATTCATGCCTTGTCTACTGGTGGTAAACCACTGGCCTCCTGGACTGCCCAGCAAGCGGCACAGGAATGTCGAGAAGCTTGTGGAGGACATGGTTACCTGGCCAGTAAGTTACAAATTCCTGAATAGATAAAGTCAAAAATTGTTTGCACACATTTCTGTCACAGTTTTTGTTGGGTACAGGTGTATGTATCAGTGGCAGTAAGTTTTCAAAAGAGCTTTGGCCCCATCTTCCTTTTTACATATTGTGATGGTGTCCCCAGGGTACAACCTGGAGCGGTTGGACCGCTATGCCCCCTTAACCCTCCAGCCTGGGCGGTCTCTCACAATGCTATGCCAGTGACAAACCGCCAACCCCTCCAGGTGCTATTATCACTCAGCCATCAGCGTGTGGAGACTCACACCCAGCAATCACCCCAGCCTTGCACCCCAGAAATATACCATCTTTCACTGCTCAAGACTCCATTGGATAGTGCAAGCTCATTAATTAGTTTGTCAGCCCAACAAAGGGACGTGCAACAGTCCTTTCAAACCGTTGCTGAGATTTCCCAGGCACTTTAATCAAAACCACACAGTTTTAAATAAAATAGTTTTATTAACTACAGAATGATAAATATTAAACGATTATAAGTAGCAGACAGAGATCAAAGTTGATTACATAGGAAATAAAAATAGAAACGAAGTCTAAATTCTAACTTTAACAGACTATGGCCATGTCTACGCTAGCACTTATGTTGGCAAAACTTTTGTCGCTCAGAGGTGTGAAAAAAATATCCCCTTGAGCGACATATGTGTTGCTGGCATAAGTGCTCATGCGCACAGCACTGTGTCAGCGGGAGACCCTCTCCTGCCAACGTAGCTGCCGCCGCTCATTGAGCTGGTTTTATTATGTCGATGGGAGAGCTCTCTCCTGTCAGCATAACGCAGCTACACAAGTGCTCTTTCAGCCACACAGCTATACCAGTACCGCTGTGCCACTGTAAGTTTGTAAGTGTAGACATGGCCAAAGCAAGATCTGAATCAAATAGCTCTTCTCATCCTAATAGGTGTTACAGGCAGCTCACAGTCCTTAATACACAGGCTAGATTCCCTTCCCAGCCTGGGACCAATCTCCCTGGTTCAAACTCTTTGTCTTCCAGATGCTCTCCCAGGTGTTGAGATGGGGGAGGAGAGAGGCCAAGTGATGATGTCACTGTTCCTCTTTTATACTTTCTTCCAGCTGCTAGAAAGATACTTGCTGTGAGGTGGGGGTTAGGTAGCCCTCATTGCATACGTGCCCTCTCCGAGAAGCCTCTGGAAGAGTGGATTCTTCTTGATGGGCCATCAACGCCTATCTGGCCAGTGATAGTTGCTCCTTTGTTGCTACTGAAAGGCTAGCTGTGCAATCCACTTCACAACATATTTCAGTAACACATACAGAGCAGTACTTCGTAACGTCACATATAATGATAGCACATACAATTCAACAGGATATTAATGTTCAACAGATCAAAACTTTTTAAATGATAGCTCACAAGGCATTCTTTGTACAAAACATATCATAATCATATCACAGTGGTGAAGATGGGGGTTCCAGGGTGCTACTTTGAGGTACAGTGTCACACAGATCCAATTTGCAGATGCAAAATCTGCACCCACAAAATGAATTTCAGGTGCGAAGTGGAATATTTGCACTAGCCATCAGGCAGTTACAACTATCCAGACTGCCCTTGCAATTCCTATGAAGGAGGAGAAATACAGATACAGATTTTGCACATGCAGATTGCCCTCATAAAATGGATGTCATGCTTCTGAAAATTTGCTCCCATGTATTTAGTTTTGTAAACAAAGGGTAACTTTTCAGCGTCACCTGTTGATAAGAATAATTATATTGTATTGGAAACTGATTCCAATTTCTTATTTTTTTTAATCACAGAATAATTGTTTCCAAGTTCTTTTGACCCATGTTTCTATAATGATTGAGTTACATTATGAATTAAAATTTGTGACTTTTCTTTTAAAAGTGAATCGTCTAGGTGATATTCGAAATGACAATGACCCAAACTGCACATATGAAGGAGACAATAACGTTCTGCTTCAGCAAACCAGCAACTACTTACTGAGCTGGGTGAATGCTAAACACCAAGGTTAGCATGTCATACTATATCTTGTTTTAGATTTAGTGGTGATTTGGTAACAAGATTAGGAGATCATTTCATACTGACAGAATTTATTTAATCATTATTTGTAGATCATAAATAACATGCTAGGTACCTTCATAAACAAGTGTCTTGATCTCTCGCTCTATATTTCTATTGCATCAATCTCCACAGTATCTGGACCTCGTTGTAACTAGTTGTATTCCATGTTGTAAGTAGGTTTTGAAAAATTAACATGATAAAAAGTAATGTGCTTGGTGCTGTATCTGCTAGGGATTCAAACTCCCAAGTCCACTGGAAGTCATTGGAAGCTTTCTGCACAGAGAGGGGGGGCTCTGTGGTCCTTGAAAAATAATATAAAGGCTATCTATCTCCGACCGCCTTTATACGCATTAAATAGCATCTGAATCCGTGTCATTCATTCCAAATGAACTCTGGTGCTAGGCACTGAGAGTACAAGTTGCAGAATGTTTAGCCGAACTGAATAATTATTATTATAGCCTTTTGTTGTTTTCTGGATAAAAGATCACGGGACAAATTGCTGGCAAAGATTCTGGCCAAGATCTTCCAGGTGTGGAAAACCCATTCATGGGTATTGAATCTACAATCTCCACTCCACTGGGAGCTTGCAACCAGCCAGGTCAGCTCCTCAGCACTTATTCACCTCTCCTTATTCGGCTGAATCCCCACTAGGCAGTAATAAGCTAAATATTTTGGCATTTCTGCACCTGGCCTATCAAGAAAGAGTAAACCTAACCCTAGGATAGTGTTTTACCTCAAAATAGTCTGACACCGACTTTGTAACTAAACAATTCATCATTGGTATTCCAGATAAAGCTCCTATTGCATCCCCTCTTGGAACAGTAAATTTTTTGGAAGACTACAGTCTTATTCTTGGCCAGAAATTCACAGCCTCTAGTGTTGAAGACTGCATGGACTCCTCAGGTAGCCATTTTCTATTTTCTCGATACAAATAGTTATTTTCACTCTGTCCCTTCCACCCAGCCAGCTGATTTTTCTTCTCTCTCTTTGTCCGCTCTGTATTTTTCCACCATCTTTTGTAAGCAGACAGCTTACCTATAAGCATTAGAGACTGAGTGATGCTTCCAAACTCACAGTATTCAAGGGAGCTCAAATTACGGCACATCCTTTTAGACACAACATCCTGCATCGTGGTAGGGGGTTAGACTAGATGGCCCTTGTGGTCCCTTCTAACCCTATGATTCTATGATCCCTAATAAGCAATGTTTTTCCTCTGGTATTTATTATGATACGTGTAGAGCCTTGACTGCAAGAGAACTAGAATGGGTAAACTAATTCAGATTAAAATGTGAATTAACTTGATCTGTTGGGTGTTTTTATTCCTACTTTTGCACAGCTCTTCACCTTTTGGTTTCATTCCAAAGCAGACACACTAAAAACAGGTGCTATTCTTGAGCTACTTGTAACCTGGGTCGCCGTGAGAAGTGCTATGTCGTTTCAGCCTGCTTTCTAGACAGCAAAAGGAATCAGACAGAGCTGGTTTAAAATTTTCAAATTTTTGATGATTTTTTTTGGCAAAAATATTTGCTGTTTTTCAGCCAACTTATAGAGTTGGTATTTTTCAAAAATGTAAAGATCCTATAAAAAATGTACAAAGTTTTCTGTATTATTCGTCCAACTCTAGATCTGAAAAGCTGACAGCTGAACATTTGAATTCTCACCTGATCCAGTGCTTTTTTCAGGTCAACCATCACTTCTTATAATATATTCTCCATCAAATTGCATTTTACTATTTATTTATGTTGTGTGATGCACACTGCAATTTATTAGGGACCAAATTTTCATTTCTTAATATGTCTCATTGGCACAAAATGTGCAAATTGAATTCTAGCATGAAATTGCTAGACAGAATGGTTTCATGCAATATTGGCTTGCATGTATTCTTCAAGTAAAATGTTATTCTTGTTCCTCTAAAGTTGTATTTGTTGGTAGTTGTCCTCCACTATTGTATTGTTTTTAGGAGAGGCCATGTCTACACCACAGAGTTAAGTCGACTTAAGTTACATCGATTATCATAAACTGTTATAATTACATCGCCTGTGCATGTTCATACAATGCTCCTTGTGTCAGCAGAGTGCGTCCACAGTTGGTGTTCTAGCACTGACAGAGAGAGCAGTGCACTGTGGGTAGCTATCCCACTATGCAAATCATCACCTTCTCCTGCTAAGAGTTCTGGGAGTTTTCTCCATCCCAAAATTCCAAGGTCTTCCAGCTGCATTTCAGGACATTTTTCAACTGCCCCTGTAAACTTTGCACCTGCCATCTCTGCCTGAAAGCATGGATCCTGCACTGCTCACCAGTCTAGTGATAAGTGTTATGAACTGCTGATCCTGCAGTATTTCATGAGCTGTTGTGTGCCATGGAAAGAAACAATTCAAGATTGATGTTGGTATTCACGGAACAGCTGCACACGGTGGACTGTTGCTACGGGAAACAAGCACTGAGTGGTAGGATCAGATTGTGATGCAGATATGGGATGAGGAGCAGTGGCTGCAGAACTTTCATGTGCATAAAGCCACCTTCCTTCAACTCTGTGCAGAGCTCATACCCGCCCTACAGCACAAGGACTACAAAATGAGAGCTGCCCTTACTTTTCCTCATTCACCTCCTTATCTGACAGTGTGTAGGAGCTGGCCCTCAAGAGCACATCTGCAGAAACAAAAGAAACAGTACACAGAGTCAGTATTGTGATTTCACTCATAGTCTTGAATCATAAACGCATAAAAGTTACATACCTCTTTCTCACTTTTCCTTGGCAAGCATGGCCAGAGCGCTAATCATGGTGAGCTTGACCCGAGGGTTTGACCCAAGGGATCACTGCAAGCACCTAGTAACAGTATTCTGAAAAAAAGAGAACTAGATAACTAAGCTAAGGGAGTACTTGCAAGGCAAGTGAGACAGTTCCAACGGCCGCCACATATGGTAAGAAAGAACTGAAGGAGGGATTGGGTCGGCAGGGTCATATATTGAGCACCATGAAGGCGCCACCCCAGGGGGCTCCCCAGCCAACCTGATGGGAGCTGCTAAGGGAAAAAGTTTCCAACGACTGTGCACACGGCACGCGCACACACCTGATTGGAATGGATGTGAACAACACATCTTGAAGAACGACAGTTACAAGAAGGTGGGTAACCGTTTTATCTCTATGGAGGATTCCCAGGAGATCCCCGTGTGCATTAACAAACTGTTTTGCAAGACCTCCACTGCGTGGCTGCACAGGAAAATGTGAAGCAGACGCAAACAGTACCTAGTGTTGTTAATTTCAATCCCTTCTCCCACATGCACCATGTAGCAAATTAAAAGACACCTCTACCTTATGCAACCATGCACTATCAAAGTAAAATGAGTACTCACCAGAGCTCCCATCTCCTGCTTCAGGCATACCAGAGCCAGACTGCTGGAACAGGCTAGACCACTCCGGAGTCAGAGGTCCTGGCTCGCCATGCCACCAGACGAGCCTGTCGCCTGCCCCACATTCTCCTTCAACTCAACCTCCTCAGGGCTGACCCACTGGCTGCTGCCTCCAGTCCCCCCGAAGTATCCATGGGGCTCTTGGCGGGGAAGGTGGGGTCACTGCTGAGGATGGTGTGCAGCTCCTTGTAGAAGCAGCGTGTTTTTGGTGCCACGCCAGAGCAACGGTTGGCCTCCTGTGCCTTCTGGTACGCCTGCCTTATCTCCGCACGGCACTACTACATGTCCCTTTTTTGCCCCTTTTCATCAATGCCACAAGCAGTCTGCTCATAGGTGTCAACATTCCTATGGCTGGATTGGCGCTACAACTGAGCATCCTCCTCTCCCCACAGACCCAACAGATCCAGCAACTTCCATTGTACTCCACACGGGAGCCTGTTTGCTGTGGAAAGCCGGCATGGGAAGATGCGATGTGGGCTGTCCACTCCGAGCAAACAAGAAGTGGAATTTCAAACATACTCAGGGCTTTAAAGTGGGAGGAGTGCATGCCTGAGTACCTTTGCAGAGTAGAAACTGCTCACCAGAGTGGTCATGATGGGCATTGTGGGACACCTCCCAGAGCCCACTGAGGGTAACATAAACAAGTGCAGTGTCTACACTGACACCGTGTCACTATAACTTTGTCGCAAAAAGCTCTGTCTCTCGTGGAGGTGGTTTTATTCTGTTGGCGTAGCAGGAGAGTTAAATCGGTGGGAGGAACATTGTTGCGTGTACACCTCCGCTGTTTTGTCTATGAAACCTGACTTTTGTTGACAAAACTGTGTAGCGTAGACATGGCCAGAGACTCTTATGTGGGCCAGATCTCCATTTGATGTAATTAGGTTGGGGCCTTGAAATAGCTTTATAAGGAAAATGCGTGTGAGTTAGAACAGTGTAGAGCAGGGCAACATTTTGAATAGTACAATAGGCTCAGACAAAGTATGTCACGATGTAGTAATCGTCTTTAGTTTGGTTGGAAAAAATGGAGAAACAGTGAGAAAAAATCTTCAGCAGTTGTCTTAGTTTTCTCTGCTATAATCAAATTAAGACAGACAGTACATGCCATTCCCACGATTTTATTGCTGCTATTTACCCAGACTGGCTCCTAGGGGGAAATTAGAGGGAATTAGATCTATATGAGGATTTAAGACAAAAGTCAGTCTATGAAACTCAGAACTTATTGTGGGTAGAAATTTAACCTTAATTTATAGATGTCATTAACAGGCAATCTGGTTATTTCCTGGAATCCAAATAACTGCTTCAGGGCTCAGCTAATTGAATGAAGAAATCCTGGGATTACTGAAGTCTCGGTAATGATGCAGAGCTCCAAGTGAGATAATGCCTCAATAGTTATGACAAAAACTTAACATCTGATTAGCTTCAAAATGCAAAGGCTTAGAAGAAAGACTTGCTGAAATAAATGTTTGCTTTGTCTTTGTGGTAAATCTCAAGCTTGTGACATGCTGGACAGCACAAACTAATAACTAAGCACATTTTTGTCTCCTCAGTTAATACCTACTGAAGCAGCGAAATCACAGTTGAAAAAAAACCCACTAAATCTGTTCATCTGTATTAATTTTATATTAGAAGTAATTTAATAGCACTGGACTAAGTCTCTGACTAGGATTTAGGCCACCAGGATTTAGCCAAGAATCATAGAGATGTGAAGCTGGAAGGGACCTTGAGAGGTTATCTAGTCAGCCCCCCACCATACTGAGGTAGGACCAAGTGTACCTACACCATTCCTAACAGGTGTATTTCTAACCTGTTCTTAAAAGCCTCCAATGACAGGGATTCCACTATGTCCCTTGGTAACTTATTCCAGTACTTAACTATCCTTATAGTTAGAAAGTGTTTCCTGATATCTAACCTAAATCTCCCTTGCTACAGATTAAGCCAATTACTACTTGTCCTACCTTCCTTCACTGGACATGGAGAACAATTGATCACCATCCTCTTAATAATGGTCCTTAATATATTTGAAGACGGTTATAAAGTGCCCCCTCGGCCTTCTTTTTCTCAACACTAAACATGCCCATATGTACTCTGTAATACCTGCTTCCCTAATAATCCCAGAGTGCTTAAAAAATTTAACAATCTGATATGCAGTGGTTACTTCACTTGTCACTTAAATGCAGCCAGACCTGGGTGGAACCTGGCAACAGTTTAATGGCATGTACCATCACTCCACAACGTTTGAGGGCTCAACCCACAAGTTGTTGGCTATCCTCAATGCAAGGAGATACACAGTACCTTTCAGGATTGATCTTTAGAAGAGGAAGAGAAAATACCTTACGTGATTGAACCTGTAGGGAGGCAGAATATAAATAATAAACTGAGAATTTGACTCTGTTACAGGAAACAACCCATTCTTGTGAAAAGTGTCATGGGACATTTAATGAATGCATGTAGCCAAGACCTTGTTTATTCTTATTTCAAAGACTATGGTCAGGATTCTTTTTGCCCCAGTCAGGCACTTCAGAGTTGCAGTTTTGTGGCAGTGGGTTGCCAGCAGAGCATTCCCCTAGCAAAGGGAAACTCTCCAGTGGTCACAAGCTGGTGGAGGTGGCATAGCTCCTCCTGTGAAAGCTGCCCACACCCATCTCCAGGATGCTGGAGGAAAAGGCTGAAAGCAGGGAAGGGTCATGGCAGAGTGGAGCTTTGCTATGCCTGCCCTCCACTCTCATAAGTCATTCAGGGACCTTACCTCAGAGGGATAAGTTAGAGCAGCTCCTTATGCTAGGGTCAGGTTGCAGAGGAATGGGGGTCACAGCTGACTCCCTGAAACCTTCCCTGTGCTCTGCAATTAGCAGAACTTGTCCACAAGGGAGAATCTACCCCAGCATCTCCAGCAACACACTGTCCCCTAAGACCATGCTGGTGCCTTGGTTAAGTGTCAGCTCGGAGAAAGGAGAATCATTTGCTGCAGTGCTTAGGTGGCCCTCAGAGGTTCTTGTCCAGGGAATAACACTGTCCAACACTGTTTGGTTGAATATTTGTGATGTGATGGCTGCAGGAGATTTTTATTGATTTATGTAAGCCTCCTATAGGAATCCAGTGTCCATCCCACATAACATGAGTTTAGAATAAAGTTGATTCTGTTTGTGATTACTAGCAATGGGAGCATCAACATGCAATATTTCAGTTTTCCTCTCTTTCCCACATGGAAAATTTCTTCTGTCTTGCAGTTCCGTTAGCTGCATATAAATGGCTGGTTTGTTACTTGCTCCGAGAAAGTGTCCTTAAATTGAGCCACGAGAAACGGTCTGGGAGTAGTGATTTTGAAGCAAGAAACAACAGCCAGGTAACACTTTATTCAGAGTCCTACTTTATTTACTGTCTATTTTCCTCCAAGTTTGCCAGATCTTGTTTGCTGTATCCTTCTGTCATTTATAAAGCAGCAAATCATAGTAACTAATAAAAATGCATTCCCATTCATGTGCGTTGTATTAAACAGTATTAAAGGAGGACAATTATGATCAGTAAAATATTTCAGAAAATAGTTTCCTTCAGAACCGTGCAGACATAGTTGTGTAATAAATTCAAATTAATCTTAATTTTAAACTCCTGTTTTGAACATTATATCTACTACTGTTAAATCCACTACCATTCCTAATTAGTACATCTACATCTGCTTATCATGCTGCGCTTATGGCCAAATACATACTATAGGAAAGAATCCTGCTCTGGCAGGTAGATGGACTAAATGACCTAATAGGTCTTTTCCGTCTCTAATGTCTATAATTCAAATGCAGGACCCTCATGAAAGATACCAGACTGACAGTACTGGAAACTGAAAAGGAAACATTGACAGTCATACTACGAGTGGATCCACTGTCCCCTAACAAGATTTTAACAGCCAAGGAGGGCATGGCTCCAAATCACAGCTTGCAGCACTTCCCCATCCATCTCTATCCTCAGTGAGCAAAACTGGCTGGAACCCAAAGCACAGAATTCTTGGCATTTGTCACTCCTGAGGGGGATCTGCTGCTCTGAAGGTGGCCAATCTTACCAACCTTACCTGCAAAGTACATTGAAAACTTGCAACAAGAAACACTCAACTCTGTATCCAAGTAGAGAAGACCTGGCTTCACCCAGGCATCCACCACCCAGGATAGCTCTGCTGGTTTGGACTTTGCAAAAGCTATGGTAGAAGTAACCACCATCAGAGCCTTCATCAGAGCAATAGCTTAGAATAAGAGAGAAATGTCTACTTTGCTGGGTCAGTATCAGAGCAACAACATGTCCCCTGGCTGGCACTTACTACTGACAGCAGCATAAATACAACTACAATTGCATCTGGTACGGCCCATTACCCAATGACTGCACCCCTTTGGGAATGTCGTGCATAGCCAAGTGTGTTAAGAAGCTGAGCAATATAAAGTTGCCCTGCCCTACTTCTTCCTTATATTCATTAGGCCCTCTTCCCTTCCTACAATGCTTGTGCAGCACAGGGGAGGATTTTTCTCATAAATAATGACAGGTTTCAGAGTAACAGCCGTGTTAGTCTGTATTTGCAAAAAGAAAAGGAGTACTTGTGGCATCTTAGAGACTAACCAATTTATTTGAGTATATTTATTTCGTGAGCTACAGTATGCATCCGATGAAGTGAGCTGTAGCTCACGAAAGCTTATGCTCAAATAAATTGGTTAGTCTCTAAGGTGCCACAAGTACTCCTTTTCTTCTTGTAAATAATGTGCATTAAATACATCTGAAAATTATTAGCATGCTGGAGCTTTGGTGACCTTTGCAGAATTGATTTTAAAACATCAGGCATGAAGAAGCACTTTCTGTCAACCCCTTGGCAGAGAAATGATGTAGTGTTCAGTCATGCTGCAGGAGATCTGGGACAGATTCCTGGCCTATACCTGGGCTGTTATGAGTTGAGAGTTCACTGAAGACATCCCAGGGTAGCAGGGGAGGGAATGCTTTGTATCACTCATCTGTGATGTCTCATTCTGGTTGAACAGGATTAACAGGCTCAGAAGGGAGTCCTGTCCATTTGTTCTCAGCCACAAGGTTAATGGGGAAAATGCAGGACTACAAGACTGGGTTTATAAAATAGGAAGAAGTGGGGGGAGGAGGGAACTCATTCTCGGGGCTCCAACAGGGATACTGTGAGAGACATTTGATTGCGACTAGAGAATTGGTCTAATCATGAAATTCTGATCTAAATTCAGGTCCAGCCATTGAGGGTGAAAAAAATCTCTCTGCCCTCCCAAAGTTTATGGGTGTTCAGATGTGGTTTTTGTGGTTCAAGCTTATCTCTGGTTGTGACACTGATCAAGGGTGCCATCAAAGAACTATACGAAGAAAGTGGAATTATTTGGAAGAGGTCTTTGGTTTATTAAATATCCTGTCTTTTGCAGTGATTTAAAAGAAACCCAACCAACTGTGATTTACTGAACATAGAACAAACCCAACAAGTTGATTAATACAAAATTAATGCCTGTATGAAACAATTGAGAGCAGTGTAACAAACTGTTATAACACAAACAGCTTCCTATTCAGCTCTGGATTCACTCTCATATACATATTCATTCATATAACATCCTCTTTCAAATTTAAATGGTATTCCAGTTCAAGTGGATATGTAAAGACTACCAAATCTTCCTATGCAAATACTCAGACCCTATATTTTTATCCTGTGTATTAAAAATATTGTAAGAGGTAGTGATTTTTTTTTTTACCTTGCTAATAAGGTAAGAGCAAAGGGTTAGTTGTGTCATTCTTTCAAACAACATTAGAGTCAATGGGGTCTAGTAAGCACTATGTCCAATAGTGTTTATAGGATCAGACCCTTCCTTTTCCTCTAATTTAGTAGAAAATTCTATCCCTGCTACAGAATTCCATAAGATTGTTTAAAAACATTTATTGAAAGGAGAGCAGTCTCTATTCAGTACTATAGATTTTATAATAATTTCCATAGAACCCTACTGGTATCATTCATATTAATTTCTATAGCATTTTCTGTTCGGGCTCAATGGGCATTAACAAGATCTTGGACCTGATTCTCAACTGTGTGCCACCTTAGTCATTTACACCTGTACAAAGTGGGTATGAAATGCTTCCAGATCAGAACGGTAGCATATTATACATCAGTTTTGTCCTGCCATTTGACAGGGGTACAAGTGACTGTACGAGTTGGGAGGTGGTGGAGAATTAGGAACCTTATTTCCAGTCGCAGTAGATATGTCCACTGCGTTTCTGAAAAACCTAATTGTCCCTAGCCAAACAGACATTTGAAATGCACACTTTGAAAGCACTTCCTTAGGCACACACTTCCCAGAGAGTCTTGTTTATTTGTTAAAACTTGAGCTGGATTGTCAACTGGTGTAAATCGGCATAACTCCATTAACTTCAATGTTGCTATGCCATTTTATAGCAGCTGAGGATCTGGCCCTTGTGTGTTTTGTTTGTCAACATGTTATTTAATCCTTTTCTATTTCTTAAGGTATACTACTGTCGTTCATTAGCCATCGCTTTTATCGAGCAAACAGTCTTACAAAGGTATCACGAATACACTCATGATCCCAACACACCATCTACACTCCAGCCTGTCCTAAAGCGTCTTAGTGCTCTGTATGGACTGTGGTCTTTAAGTAAACACATGGCCGTGCTGTACCAAGGTGAGATCAAATCTATCTTCAGTGTGGATCACTTTTTAAACAGCCCTAATTGTAACCTTCATTTTTTCTATATAGTGCATGCACTTTGGCAGGGAGAAAGTGAATCTTGACTGGAGTATATGATAGAACATTTAGTTATTGCCTGTGTAATGCAGCATTACTGGGTAGGCTGTCAGAAGCAGGGATTCAGCTCTGGATCTAAGAGAGTCAGACTCTATTAGCTAAGCTAAAAGCCTCAGCTCTGTTAGCACAAGGGCTGTAGTGAACTTATACACCTCTGTGAGATCCAGCCCCGGGGGTAGGGATGATATATAGCCATACTTTGTCTACCCGGCCCTGCAGTTCAGACTCTGGGGGAGTGAACTGTAGTGCACACTAGCATGCTGTGCTGTAACTGTCCCATGTGGACATTTGCTGGTGCAAACTAAAAGGAACTTAGTTCGCATTAACATAGTTCTCTTTCAAACAGGACTATGTTACTGTGAACTAGGTACCTTTTAGTTCATGCCCACAGCATCCACATGGGGCAGTTACAGTGCAGCACCCTAGTGCATGCTCTAATTCACACACCCTGGGACCGTAGAAAAGCCTTGTGATTTACACATGTAAAAGGCTCCAGGTGCCTGAGGAAGCGAATTTTTAAAGTCTACCTCTTGAGTGAGAGAGTCATCACAACTCTCACAAGTTTCATCTTCATAAATACCAAACAGATTTATAAAACCATGCCATTGGTAAAAGGAATATAGCAACATAATCTTAGCTTGACCATTTAATTTCATTGTAAATATATTTGCAGGTGGATATGCTTCAGGTGAACAGCCTGGTCGATTCATACAGCATGCTATTCTGGAGCTTTGTTCCAAGGTAAGTCTCTAATATCATTTTGGTGTGGATGGACAGCAACACAACATGCTAGTAACAGAAGAAAGACATACCACTTACTCTGCACTTCAAGAGATTACCAGGATGCTATCCTATTTGCAGTTGAATAGCCTGTTTAAAAAGGGGAAGGTTAGTAGCATTGGGTCAAAGCCTGAGTATTCTACAAGGGCTCAGAGAAAGTAATATTTCATATTTTGAGGGGAAATTTTTGGAAGATGATGCTCTGGATTTCATTTGTCATTTGAAGTACTGTGTTTATTGGATGAAATGGGAGGCCAGTAAAACACTTGAGAGCAGCAGTGCCGTTCTATTTATTTCATTATCATCTCAGCTCATAAATATTGTCTGTGTTATTTTTTTCTCAACACATAGCTTTTCAAGCTAGCACACATTTTGACCAGGCAAGATATGAATTGTAAAGAAGAAGAATCTGGAAATTGTATGTTAATGAATGAGTTGTGTGTTGATCAGTTTGTATGAACATACACAGTACTGCCTAGGTGAAAATAAAACTTAATGCTTTTAAGGAAAGCATAGAAAACTTCTCAAATAGAGTTGGGTCTTTTTTTTCTTATTGCTCTGGAAGAAAGACAAAAATAGTGTGAATAGACAGTGTGTTGATAGTGGATCTTTAAAAGTGTAACAACTTAAGTTACCATTGGCTGGTTTCTTGAAGCACTGCTTTGTTGTCCGTAGGTAACCATAGAAATCTAGAAGAGCTGCCAAATTTATGCTCTTTGTTTTTAAACAGTTGAAAGATGATGCAGTTGCCTTGGTGGATGTCATTGCACCTCCTGACTTCATTCTGAACTCACCTATTGGCAGAGCTGATGGAGAGGTAAAGAGAAACCTTCCTGTGTTTGTAAAGCTAATAATTAAAAAGGCATTTATGTAACCGGACTAATATTTTAAATTAAGAAGCTTTACAGCTAGAAGAAAAGGGCAAACCCTCAGCTGGTGCATTGACTTCAATGGAGCTATGACAATTTGCACTAGCTGAGGATATGCTCCAGTATATGGGGAAGTCACATGCTACTGTTCAGAATGTATTGCTTTGGTAGAAATCTGTACATACCCTGGATTGAAGAAGCTACTGTACATCCCATAATTCCACAGTGAAAGATCTCTTTTCTAGATATTTAAATATTTGGAGGGCCTCCAACATCCTTCTAACTTTGCCAGCCCTTCTGATTCCCAAACTCATTGAGTGGGTTCTCTGTTACTATCTTCTTGTTCCGTGATGCTCTGCCTATGCACATAGACCCCAAAGGTGGTCTGGTCTTTTTTACTTCTCTATCACTTTGCCCAGCATAGTCTAATTTGCCATCCAGTATCACCCTAAAGGTGAAATTCTGGCCCCTTTGAAGTCAATAGCAAAACTCCCATTGATTGTAATTGGGCTAGGTTTTCATCCTAGGTCGTTGTTTTTGTTTAGTTCTGTTGCTGTTTCAAATTATTGTCTCATCAGATGTAATGGCTTTCATTTTACCAGTTGGAATCTTGTGTTTTTATTCCTTGCCTATATTTCTAACTTTTCTAGGAATGATTCCTCTGATCTTATTGGTGCTCACAACACCCTCATTTTAGTGTCATCTGTTAATGTAATTTACCCTCTTTTCCTGATTTTTAATGAAAATGTCTAATATGAGAGCAAAGTGGAATTAAAACTTGTTCCAATTAAGAAGTGTTATGGTCATGGCCTACAAACAGAGAAATTACATTGCAACCTTCCAAAAAGATTTACCACTACTTTATTTCTTAAAATCCAGAACCTTAACACACAAGAATCAAAAAACAGAGACACAATGCAGGCTGCTCCCTAAGGGTGTGTCTACACTGCAGGATTCTTTCAGCAGTGTGTAGTGTATGTACATGCAGAGCCCTCCTAGCACAGACATTAATAGTAGTGTAGACCGTGAGACATGGAGTAAGCAAGTAAAAGTATGCCGGAAGGGTGTAGGAATGTACCCGGAGTACATAGACTACATGCTGTCTGCTCACTCATGCCATGACTCTCAGTGTGGAGTCTTGCTGCATCCCAGTGCCAGAGCCTTTTCCCTCTGCAGGAAAAGGCCCCAGCAACTCCCTGACACTGGAGCCCTTCCCTGCCAGAGGGAAAGACTCCAGCAGGGAAAGTCTCTGGCAGCAGGGGAGGCAGCAAAGAAAACGCTGATCCTTTCCCTGCCGCCTCCTCCCTGCCAGAGCCTTTCACTGACACATGTAGCTACCCACCGCAGTGTGGCTGCAGCCGTTTAAACTGCAGCGTGTAGCTACACATACACGACATGCTGCCGAAATTGGTGTGTTGTATAAATGGCAGAGATGCACAACTCACCCCACCTTTCTCTAGGCTGGATTGAGACAGCCCTTAGCTTGAAAAGTAACAGGTACACTTATAGACCAGAAATAATAACACCACCACCACTGTGCTTTACACCATTAATGGGAGGATCTCAAAGTATTTTACAAACATTAACTAACGGAGCTTCAAACCAATTCGGTTTAAAAAAATAGGTCAAGATTTTCAAAAGTGACTGGGGGGTTTGGGTACCCAACTTGGGGCACCTTTCAGAGGCCCTGATTTTGAAGGGGATAGATTCTCATCGCTTTCTGAAAATCAGGCCTCTTCAACGTGTCTCAGGCTGGGCACCCAAAATCACATTTGAAAATCTTGGCCAGAGCATTTCAGTGTCTGCCTTCATCGTAGTGCCATTCAGTCAGTTCTAGCACCACCTAAGCAATATCATTGTGCCGTGGGTTCTGGAAGTGCTGCTCATTTGCAGATATCCCCAGAGGCAGTCTGTTCTTCTCTTTATGCGTGTCAGTTTCTTCCTCAGTCCAGTTAAGAGCGAAGGGCTTTGGAAAGTGTCTTTCTGCACAGCTGGATGAGTCTTGTAAGATTTCTGTTCTAAAAATTCCTCTTAGTGGATCTTACTAGCCTCTTACATCTGAGGCTGAACAAAACAATATGTACTGTTTTCAGAGAGCTACAGTGAATACACTTGATAGGCACAGCTCACAGAACAGGGTCGTGCAGAGCTGCACTTTCCCTGAAGGAACAGTGAAAAGTATTCAGAATGCCCCCCTTAGTTCTCTAGTGTGCAGCAGAGAGCACCTACTACAATACCCACTCCTTCATGAGGTGCTGCTTGCCCCAGTGTTCCCCTTCCTGGGAGCACGAATGGAACAATCTCTGCGCTCATAAGCAGACACATGGCAATTCTGCCTGGCCTGTATGCAGGCCATGCTAGGGTATAAGAATGTTCTTTGAATATTGGGTCTGATCCATGCTGTACTATATTGACATCGTTCCCTTTATCACCCATATTGTGTACTTGGGTAAGGGCCGGGCAAAATCCGGCCCTGTATCATGTGGTAGCAAAGCTCCTTTAAAAAGTATTTCATTCCTTCTACAAAAGAGACTAAAGATCACTCATCTGCCCTGTTATTCCAATAGATGTCTCCATTCCAGGAACCCTAAGTTGCATTTTCAGCTTTATCTTGTGCAGACGCCAATTAAAATGTGATTTTAGACACATCATCAAAATGCTGAACACAGTTTTTGTTCCACTTCCTTGTTTACTGCTTGAACTATCAAGAACATAAAAATTAATTATCTAAATGAAAGAGCCACCTTCTTCCTAATCAAGCTGTTGCAGCTACCCAAAATGAAAGCAGCAGCTTCTAATTCACTTATTCAATTGCAGGGGAGTCATTACCAAAGAGGGTCAGACACATGAGAATTAGGAGGGAGGAGGAGGAGGTGGTCATTTTCATGGCACTGAACACAGTCTACCTGTGACTTTGTTAGACTCTTCTAGATGTGGTGGTTTTGGGGTGTGGCCTCCGAAGAATGGGACTCCCCATCAATGGGAGGGTTATTCATGGGGGGAAAGGGCTAAACTCACCCTGTGGCTAAGTGTCAGCAATTGCATGGTCAGAATTTCACACTTGCATGTCTGCTTTTAGGTACTTAAATTCCTATTTGGGCATATAAATCAGTGGTCTCATTTTCATACAGGTCCTTAAAGTAAAGCCACCTGTCTGGGTGGCTCATAAGTTTAGGGTACTTGGTGGAGATTCTTGCCTTTATTAAAGTTTAGGGGTAAAATTTTCAAAAGTGTCTCTGTGACTTAGGAGCCTAAGTCCCACATTCAAAATGGAATTTTCAAATGAAAATTCAGTGCCTAACTCCTATAGGAGTGAAATCCCTTTGTGAAAATCCCACTAAGTGCCTACCTGCATCTCTAGGCACCTAAATACCTTTAAAAATCTGGCCCTTATGCAGTTAGAAGCCTAAATCCCATGGACAGTCACAGTCCTAGGCTCCCAATTGCCTGCTAAGTTTCCTACAGAATCTGAACATCCAATTAATGTTTCTGAGGAAGTGGTTTAGAGGGAATAATTTTAAAAAATGACTAAAACATGAACCACCTACAGAGCGGGAAAGGGAAATTATGGTTCTTAAAATAAGATTAGGGCCACAGCTATGAGTCAGAGAATCCAAAGACAAAATAACTGAAAGCAGAAAATTAGAAAGAAAGGTATCCAAATGACTGTAAATGTGAATGTTAAAATATCCAATAAGAAGCAGAAGAAATTGATGACAGTAAGAATGTGTATTCTGAACAGAGAGTGGATTTAACTGGTTAATAAATTACAGACAGCTTGTATTTCAAAGGTAAAAATAAAGAGAATGAAGAGTAGAAAGGCAATGGAAAAAATACAGTACAAATTGCAGGACTGTACAGGCCAGATCATCTGAGTGTAACAGGGAAATGAATTTCATTTGGATAATCAAGGTTCTGTTAAGGTGGGGTTGGTGGGGTCAGGAATCTGCAGTTCTTAAACTATGTAGGAAAGAGGCTTTAGACCTTACTGTGCAGCTTTAGGACTGAATGATTCAAGAGTAAAGTTGGAAGACTTGGATGCCCAGTTCCCATCCAAGGCAGTTTTGAAAATCTCAGCCTAAGTGTATAAAGTTTTTGTTAGCTTTTCAGTACTAAATCGAACATTTTGTAGGCTGGAGGTCAAACCAACTTTTTTATGGACCCAAGTGTCTCAGCTAACCATAGTCCAGAAAAATCAAAGTTCAAATGTATTAATTATTTTGGAGATTCTTTGAAATTTTTATTTAAAACATGTAGGGCCAAAGCCTCAGCTGGTGTAAATCGGTGTCGCACCATGGAAGTCATTGCAGCTATGGTGATTGACACCAGGTGAGGATCTGGTCTCCCTCACCTCCTCCCATTTTTTTAGGATGGTATTAAAAAGTTTAAATTAATTGTGAAACTGTCAAATATTTCCAAATAGCCAAAAATATAACCTGACCAGCGCTCAACAGATCTACACTATTAAAGTGGCCTTTTGCAGAATTTACTTCCCATTTAATGCTTTTAACTGGGCTGTATAAAATAACAAGTTGGGAAAGACTGATGAATTAACAATGTGCTGATGGGAGAGGAATTTCTGATGCTCAAACAGAAGTGTTCACATCTGGGAGAAAAATTCTGTAACTTGCCAAAAACATATAGAAAGAAGGGTAAAAACAGAGTATTTTCAGCTATAACTTTCAGAGGCATGAACAGAATGAAACGGCTTCATTTAATCTTTCCTCTATGAACTGTGTTTTCACTGTTTTTCTTTTGCTTTGTGATTGTTTCATAGCAGTTAGAATGTTAAAAGGCCAGATCCTTAGGTGGCACAAATCAGCCTCACTCAGCTAAGTCAAACTGTTAGTCCAGTTTACCCCAGCTGAAGATCTGATCTCAAATTTGTTTTGTTCTTGCTTTCACATAATTTTGTGCTTTATTTTTCAAATTATTTTGTGCTTATTCCTTGTGCTTGTTCTGTATTCCTAGAAATACAGTTGCAATTGCAATTCCATTTCAGTTGGTTTTATTTAAATTGTTTAAACTTTTGTGAAATTTAAATGATTTTCTGCTTATGTTAATCTACATTCTTCTTCTTTTGCAGCTATATAAAAATCTGTGGACAATAGTCCTTCAAGGCAGCAAGGTGCTGGAGAGACCATCATGGTGGGCAGAATTTTGTGTTAATAAGCCCGTTGTCGGCAAGCTGAGGTCGAGGATGTAAATCAAACATTAAGAGTGGCCCAGATAGAGCAACGATTGAGAACATATTTCAGACACTGAGCGGGAAGGAGCACATATTTCAAATGTTGCAAATGAAGGAGATTTCATACAGAATATGCCAAGAGATAGAATGAGTTTGAAATCCGATATGACCAATCTTAAGGACTGTTGACATAATGGCAAGAACAGTGCAACACATCTGCATGCAGTTCATAGTAATCATGCTAATGTTAATCAGTCTCAGATTAAAAGAAAAAGAAGTCTCATTAAAGTTAATTGCTTCTCACAGCTTCAGTACATATAAAACTAAATATTACTTTCATCAGTGTCCTGAGAGCAAATAGGGTCTAAAAGTCTTGTAATTGCTGGCATGCTACAAAAGTTAAACATGCAAAAAAGTCTACCTTGAACTATGAACAGACAAGCCAGTTTACTTTTTCAAGTTTCTGGAGGAGTATTAGCAAAGCAAAGGGGTATTTAGAACCTGGCAGGATTTTCAGTGGAGATAAACTAGGATAGCATCACTGGAATTGAGTAAAAAGAAAAGGAGTACTAGTGGCACCTTAGAGACTAACCAGTTTATTTGAGCATAAGATGTAGTGAGCTGTAGCAGCTCACTTCATCTTATGCTCAAATAAATTGGTTAGTCTTTAAGGTGCCACAAGTACTCCTTTTCTTTTTGCGAATACAGACTAACACGGCTGCTACTCTGAAACCTGGAATTGAGTAAGAGAGTCTCTTTGAAGTCCATGAAGCTACTCTACTTTACACTATCTGTTCCACAACGTTTAAAATAGTTGATTGTTCTCTCAATGCAAGAGATGTGATAAATTGACTTCCAGTTTGAGGTTTTGATTAATCCCCTCAAGTTTTGTATCACTGTAGATATCACTAATTCAAAGTTTCTCATTCACTTGTCATTGTTATATTAAATTTATGGTAATGCAAATGTAAAATGATTGTATAACCTCACCAGCAGTTAGTGTTTTATTGTTTTCCCTTCTATACAGTGTTAGCTTTTAAGCTCAACAGATCAAGCGGTGCAAGTTAACACATGTAGCTGCCCCTGCTTCCTTCAGGTCCAAATTTAGTCCAATAATCTGGAAGTGGGTTGTTAAAAATAAACAAAATGATGTCTGTTGCCAGATGCTGTAGACATTTAGTCAGGGACAAGAAAGTAGAATGATAATTACTGCAGCTGAGGGAGAACCATTGTTTGTATATGTTTAGTAAATATTCCCCAAGTAATGAGTAGTTTCCTTTGCAAATGAAGAGGCACTAGTAAGTTTTTGAAGTGCTGAATCTTTTATATTTTTAAAATAAAATCTGGAAAGATCCTGCCTGCTTTTCTATACTGTATGATTTCCCTGTTACTCTGAACTGATCAAGGACCAAATCCTGCTCACTGTACTCACATGAGCTGTCCTGTTCAGGCCAGGGGGACTATTTGTTAGGAAGGTGTCTAGGATTCAGGGCTTGATCCTGTGCCATTAAAGTCAATGGGAGTTTTGCTATTGACTCTCAATGGGAGCAGGATCAAACCCCTGGCCCTTAGTGGATTTTTTTTTTTAATTGTCACCATTCTGTTCCAGCTCTACACTTATGATTCTGATGAAGTGTTTCTATGCCAGAATTCCAAAGTTTGTAAGTCTTCAAAGTGTTATGACACAAATATTACATAACTGTTATTGTGCTGGTTTTTTGTGTGTAAATATTACTAGAATACATTTAATCAAAGTAAAAAATAAAGTGGTATTTTCAGTTTTTGCCATATGATCAAGTAGTTATATTGCTCCTTCTAAAGTTTCACCAAAATCAAATCGAACATAGAAGGTGTTTCACTGCTGGAAAAGCCATTGAAAGGGCATTTCATTTTTAACAGTGTGCTCTTGGAGAATCTCAAGGTACATTTTCCAAAGCAGAAACCTTTTAACATTTCAGTTTAGGTTGCTAAGGGCAATTCAAGAGATTAGTTTAAAGTGCCTCGAAGTCAAAACTTCTTATTTTAAGCCCTGCCTGTAGTTCTCATTTTCTTTTTTTCTGTTCTTCATTTTCTCTTTCCAGTTGTATGGCAAAGGATCCAAAGGATCTCTTTTCCCAACTGCTTTTTCTAGCAATATCCTTTCATTTTGGTAGCAGTACACCGAAATTCAGAGTGTCCCAACAGACACTTTCTTCTAGCAACTGGTTTATATAAAATAGAGGTAAACATGGCCAGATTTATTAGAACTCCTCATGCATATCAGATTTATTTTTCTTTGAATTGCTTCAGCTTATTAATTCTAAGAATATCCAATAGGTGGCATCATCCCATAGACAAAATTTTAACACAGTTCCACTGAAGCAGACGCAGCACTACTATGCTTATATCCATACACGTGGAAGGCAGGGACTCTTGCAACTGGACTATTTTTGTTTGTATAAATGTTACATTAACTTTAAATATACAGCAGAGGCCCAGTCATGATTAGAATCAAAAGCCTACATTAATGCTGTGTGTTCCTGCTACATTGATGATCAAATATTTGAGTGACCACCAAGGGAATTGTGCATCCCAGTTCTCCCCATTATTGTGACCTGTGTGATTGGTCTCCACAAGAGAAGAAAGGGAGATAATGGGCATGTCAAAGGTATGGCCAGTTAGCACACAGCACAAATACCCCAACACATGGTCCTATTAATATATTTATTATTAGTATTGTGGTAGCACCCCAATCAGAACTGAGACCCTATCATGCTAAGTTCTGGACAAAGTCACAGGAAGACATAGTCCTTGCTCTGAAGATTTTTTAATTAAATGAAACCACAACTAACAGGAGGGAAGAAGTGGGGAAAAATACGGTAACTCGTGTAACCACAGAACTTAACTACAGTATATGCATAACTTGATAACTGTGGGTCATTTGAGAGATCTGATTTTTCTTTTAAATATCAGCTCTCCCCAAATGAAATATACTGAAATTCAGACTTCTTAACATGAAATACTTTTTTAAAAAACACTAAAGATGGGCACCACTGAAGTACACCCTGTAAACACTTATACATGGAACTTGATATTTGCTATATCACATCAGTGCACATATGACTTAGGGGAAATTTTCCATTAGCCATATTACAGTTAGTCTTTTAAAATTCACCACTCTGGCCAAAAAAATTAAAAAAGACGAACTAAATAATAGTTCTGTCTTTGTAAGAGACAGACAGTAATTTTGGCCACCACCACCTGGCTCTGCTGCAACAGTCAACTAGCAAACCCTCTTCGCAAAACCATGTTGGTAAGACCAAAATAATAATAAATTTCAAACATGGGTGGAAGGATTATGTGCAAACTGAAAGAATAATGTGCATGGGAAGAAAAAGGTATAGCATACAAAGAGCCTGAGAAATGAATCTCATTTGGAGATTTCATGAAAAGGGGATAAGGATGGGTAAAAAGCTTTAAAAACCCACCTAATCACTGTTCGGAGTATATACAGCATGTACTGGAACCTTGGTTTGTTCAAATATTCATGCAGAGCAGGTTTAGACGACCGGTGCTTGGGGATAGGTGATCAGAGAGGTACACATGCATAGGCTGTGGGAATAATCAACACCTTCATAAGGGCATGTGACCTATGAAGTTTGGAATCTACCTATTTGAGTGATCACCTTCCCGCCCCCATGATATACTGCCACAGCAGGGGTAATTAGAGCATTTGAGCTGAAACCTCCTTAAGAGGAGGCTCTCTGTAAGGGCCCTGGGATTATGGAACATGCACTGAAATAGCCCAGATTTGATGACTTTCAGCATGTTGCAAAAGCCATTAATTTGATAGGGATTTTTGGAGATCGTTGAAGGTAGTAAGTTCCTGGATACAGTAAGGGATGGAAAGGATCTGCTTTCTCGCTGTGGTTTGCTGAGTTTGGTATACAAGATTTTGTTAAAAAGGCTGGTGGGTACTTGTAAGACTAAGACCCAGATCCTCAATGGTATTTAGGAACCTAACTCCCATTAATTTCAGTGCAAATTAGGTGCTTAAATACCATTAAGGGCGTGTCCTCACTACTAGGGTAAGTCGACCTAAGTTACACTACTCCAGCTATGTGAATAACGTAGCTGGAGTCAACATAGCTTAGGTCTACTTACCCCGGTGTCTTCACTGCGCTGCGTCAAGAGGAGATGCTCTCCGGTCGACTTCCCTTACTCTTCTCGGAGAGGTGGACTACTCGGGTCGACTGGAGAGCGCTCTGCCATCAATTTAGCAAGTTTTCACTAGACCTGCTAAATCGACACCCACTGCATGACAAGAGATACTAAGGTGCCTAAACCCTATATTTAGGTGCTACTGCAATCCACAAACCCCCACTCAGCTGCTGCCTAACCCTGTACGCGGGGGCAATGGAAGGACTCCAAAAGGGAGGGAGCCCAAGCACCAGGTTGCAACACCACTCACTCAAATTTGGCCCCACCAACCCTCCATCATGCCAGCAGGGAAGGTTAAAGATTCCAGTGATTGTCAAGGTGGCTAAGTACCTTTGTGGATCTGGGTCCTAGTGTTTCTGTGTAGGTGTTTTAATAACTATTAACTTAGGAGTACGTGGAGCAGTGACTGATATCTCTTTAGATTTAATGTTGCTGTATGTTCATATTAATGGAATGTCCTTTTCTTATAGATTCAATGGTTCTGGAGATCTTTTGGAGGGAACATTTGGGAGTAGCTGGAATTAACTGTCAAGTGAGAGATTAATTTACAGAGTTTAATGGCAGCAAGGAGAGATGTAATGAAATTTGGCATCCTGTACTAAATCACATGGCAGAGACTCAATTACTACTGCAGCATTTAATGTTGCTCAAAGCATTCTGCTTCTTTTACAAGGCATTAAATAATACATGTTTGCCTTGGTTTGGTACCTGTGGATAAGTCTGCAAAAATCTATTGTGTCTGTTATGTTCTCAGGCTACATGTCTCATTGTAAGACCGTCTTTGTCTGCATGTTTTATTTTATGAAAAGAAAGTCCACCCCCAAGTCTCAGTAGAAATGGAGTCTATCTGTCCACTTTCACTCTGAACACATCTAACAAAGCAATTTTAAGTGGAGAACAAGAAAAATATCTGTAGTACTTTTTATAGATATCAGCCAAGTTAACTGAGGGCTAGTCTACACGGGCAACGTGGCTTGGGTAGTCATGGCAGAGCGCTGGGGGAGAACTCTCCCAGTGCTCTAAAAAAAAAAAAAAATCCCACCTCCACGAGGGGCGCAGCTCCCAGCGCTGGTGCACTGTCTACACTGACACTTTACGGCGCTGAAACTTCCTGCACTCAGGGGGATGTTTTTTCACACCCCTGAGCAGTTGCAGCGCTGTAAAGTGTCAGTGTAGACAAGCCCTGAGGCACTCATGATATTATTCTGCCTGACTGCATAGAGTTAACTCAAAGGAGGCTGTTGGCAGAGGGAAGCCAAAAGCAAATGGAACAATGGCAAAGATAAGAATATCACAGAGAATACTAAGCAGGAATGGCAGAAACTCCCTAAAAGTGGGGGGGCCACCAGCGCCCCCTGTGGCTCCGCCCCCCATGCCACCCCCTCATGCTGCCACTCCCCCCACCCATGCACCACCTCTTCCCCTCCACTTGCTCCTCTCTGCCCTCTCCCCCCACATCATTTTCCTTTATGGCCAGTAAAAAGCAAAGGGGCCATGGCCCTCTGATACTCCCTATTCCGGTACCCCTGATACTAATAGTCTTTGAGGAAACAGTTGGGAAGCTATTAACTGAGGGACTATGCACCCGTCTGACTATGCAGCTAAGCTAGCAAGGTTTATCCTTCCCAGGCTTGAACTTAGGATCAAAGGTGATATTAAAACCTTAAAGATCCCTGCCTAGGGGGAAGGGTGCAAAGTGGGCAGCAGCAGCTGGAGAGGAGCCTGGCATAGAGGATGCTGTAGAGCAGTGGCTTTCAACCTTTCCACACTACTGTACCCCTTTCAGGAGTCTGATTTGTTTTACGTATCCCAAGTTTCACCTCACTTAAAAACTACTTGCTTACAAAATCAGACATAAAAATACAGAAGTGTCACAGCACACTATAACTGAAACATTGCTTCCTTTCTCATTTTACCATATAATTATAAAATAAATCAATTGGAATATAAATATTGTACTTAAATTTCAGTGTACAGTTTATAAAGCAATATAAACAAGTCACTGTCTATGAAATTTTAGTTTGTACTGACTTCGCTAGTGCTTTTTAATGTAGCCTGTTGTAAAACTAGGCAAATATCGAGATGAGTTGAGGTATCCCCTGCAAGACCTCTGTGTACCCCCAGGAGTATGCATACCGCTGGCTGAGAACCAGCAGCATGGCGGGGCTGGAGGGAAGCCCTGGCTTAGTGGAACTTATCCAACGCTAACAAGGCAAGAATAAAGTGTCAGTAAGGCTATGTCTACACTACACAGCTTTTACCGGCACGGCTGAAGCAACACAGCCATGTTGCTAAAAGTCACACCATGTAGCCGCTGTTTGTTGGCTCTCCTGCAGACAAAAAACTTCCACCACCACCCCCCATGATCAGCGCTCTCCTGCCGACAACATGCTGTTCACACTGGTGCTTGTCATGGCAAAACTTTTGTCTTTTGGTTGGGGGGAAGGGCAGGTTAAACACCTCTGAAAGACAAAAGTTTTGTTGTTCAATTGCCAGTGTAGACATAGCCTAAGAGTGGGTAAGAACCAGGCCTTTTCTCATCGTCTCCTTTCTTAGTGTTTGCTGTGTACCTTTGATGAATAAAGCATGCTTT